TGTTATAAGTATTTTGCTGCCAGCCACCTTCATTGTCACATTAGTAATTGTCGAAGTGTCTGAAATCGAATGAAAATGCTGTAAACAAAAAAATTAGATTGCTCAGCCCCAATTTCATCAGAATTTGATAACCGGATTATTTAAAATATATTTTGCAAGCGTATCAGATTCCTTCGTTTACCAACCAATTACATTCCAGTTTCGTTTGTCCCGTCTACGTATTACCAAACTCCTCTTTCCCCCAAATTGCACACTTCCTTTTGCGAGCGCACGCATGCGCAGAGCGGTTTCTGGGGGCAGCGTGGCCCTTGGGCGCATGCGCCCGTCCATGGAAATCGTTCGTCAAAAGGAAGCGTGTAAATCGGCAGGGGGCAGGGACGCCAGATTGGAGAATTGTGTCCCCAAAATGGAGATATTTTTTCTTGGTGGGGAAAGAAAAAGGGCAAAAATGGACAGGGACATGTTTGGGGAATTTTGTGGGAAATTATTTTCTACCGGAATTGAGATACAAACATTATTCTATTAATTATTACGAATAAAAAAGAAACATTAGACGTTATTCTCTCTAATATCTATGTAGAAGGCTGGAAGACAGTATACGGCTTCGAGCAACTTAAGAGGTCGATGATTGATTTGAATTATTTGAATTTAAAGGGACAGCCAATGGAATCGCCAGGCACAACTCGTTCTTGGTTCATAATTTGGAGAATATTTTTCGTTTTAAAATTGGGGAATTTTGTTTCATAGCAGAGGTTATTTGGTCAAATTCTGTAGAAGTGGTGGGAAAAGAGCTCTCAACGCATCAGGCAACCCTGCCCGGGGGTAATTCCGGCAAGGAACGGGGACACCGTGTCGGCGAAGGCAGCGAGGTCCTCTTGGGGTATGGCCTTGGCGGGGGCGGGGGCGGCGGCGGCGGCGGGGACGGCGGTGAGGGCGGGAGGCGGAAACAGTGACGGAAGTCGTTTACTAAAACGAAACAATTCATTATCTAGACGGCAATAAACGTTTAATATTAGAACTCACCGACAAATGATGAAATTTCTGAGAAAGAATGAAGTCCTTTTTGACTTGTTGTTCGTCCCCTATTTATTTACTGCGATCCCTAAACATTGTTAAAATCAGACATAAGAGAATAACAAAAAGAAATTGACGTAGCAAAAACATCAAACAAGAATACAAGAATAGTTTAGTAATTAATTATTCATTGTGTATGATTCTAGAACATAAGGTAAATTTTCTTACAAAAAATATGTTTTGGTGATTTTTTTTGCCATCTCCACATAACGAGAACTTTCACGAAAGGACTCCTTGAGTTTCGTTATAAAATATTTATTCTGAATATCTGTTTGAATTTGCGAGTCTGGAACAGAAGTTTCGTAGATGAGGGTCAAGGTTCATGTCAGGACGATGCCGGATTTTCAACATCAGCTGAGTATGATTGTACATATGTACTTTTAACAGCTCTTTTACGAGGATGGCATTACCCTAACAAACGGGCCACGGACAGCACGCGATCTTTCCTACCTCTTCCTTGTGCTTTTCTACACACGATCAGATGCACACACTTCCACTATATTCCCTGTACACACACTTCCACTAATATGCATTACACTACCACACATGCCGGGAGACCGGTCTGGGGCTTAGAGCTTGTCCAGGTTGTACGATGCCTTCCTTCTGGGAGATTCCTGGGTGGGGAAAACTCCGTTAACCGACGATAGGTCGGCGCCGGATCTCGCCACCGAACGGGGGAAGAACACCGCCACTTCCCAAGCAATATACGAGTACTACATTTAAGGGACTAACGACTTTAGAAGTTGACGAGCCCGGAATCACACTCAATCAATCAATTGATGAGGGTTTTGCTACTGTGCAGCCAGCGTTGTTCCAACAGCTCCTCATGAGAGATGAACTGCCGTGCCTCTGGCTGTCATATTGTACTGTGGGCGAGAGGGGCGGGCCGTTGCATAAGATGGAAGGTTGTAGGGGCATGTGCGAGAGTTGCTGCCCTCTTGGCACGCTCGGGGAAGGGTCGTACATTTGACAGCGAAGCGGCCGGCCGGTGCATGACGAAGCAGGATTTGGGGGAGCGGGGGTGCGGCGTTCTGTGCACGCGATGGTCGTACGTAAGGATGACTCATTGTAATATCTATTTTCTTCCTTCTATCCTCTTTCCATCTACCCTTCAATCTATGCACTCATCCATTCCGATTTTCCGGGCTCCAATTTAGCCATCTTTGGAACAGCACCAATAGGCACTTATTCCGACGTATGTGCGACATCTCAAAAGATCCTTACACAGATTTTACTATCGAACATTTTGGAGATCGTATTGTTGAGGTTATTCCAATACTTTTCATGTTCATGTATGTATACTATGGAGTAGGGAGGGAAAGTAAAAATGTTAGCTCTTGAAGTCCTGTAATTTCGCAGGTAGTAAGTACTGGAACAGATCTTTAAATAAATCAGCTCGTGCAGTTCAATTATAAAAATCAAATATTTTGACTTTAACCATTACGTACAAAAACAATGAAAGTGGTCTCTGGACAGTTTTGATCTATCTCAGGTCAAAATAAAACTCTCGTGCTGACATAAATGCTGTTCAAATGTATTTTAACTCACTGTGTAGTTCATTTACTTTATGTAAGTGCCAACTTAACAACTGTGCCGCTCACTGTGTTTAGGGATCTCATTTCCGTGGATCGTTCCATTTCATGTGATCTAATATGGAACAAACGCCTTAGCAATGAGACTTTTATCAAATTGTATTTGTTTGCATCTTCGTTACCAACTAATAAGAACATTAATTTCCCCTTGAGAGAGAAAACCGTACCACTGAGCACTGCTTCTGGTTTTGAAATTTTCAGTTATTATAATTCTTGTCGTTTTAGGACAAGCTGCCAATGCACTGGTTTATGAATCTTTTTTAAATTATTATGTAGTTATTACTGACAGGGAAACCTGCGATTTAATGGAAATCTGCAGCAAAACGAAATCGCCAGTATTTTTCTCGAGTACGTAGCGGAATTAAGTGGTAATATGAAATACACAACAGAACCTTTTGTGCATGTCCGAACCACTTAATCTGTCGCTAATGAGCTCCATTGTTATGAAACAGAAGTTGGTACTTCTGTGAAGACAAAAGTGTAATTTTCCCACGGAGAGAAGAGCACGATAATAATGCGTGTGCTTTGTCATAGCTTGCCAGCGTGCGTACTAGCAGGCAATAGTTTCATGCAGCTATATCGTTATTAGAACTTTTAAAATGAATTCATTAATTGTTAAGTTAATTGTCTAATTTTCTAATATGTAAATACGAGTACGTTATACTAGGAGAAATACAGTCATGGTATAATGAAACCCGACTTATCAAGGAATGTTTCCGAAGCAATGACTGGTTTTATTATTGTATGATTTTAATAACAATGCTGGTGAGGTTGATACTTTGTAATAAATTGAGAGAAAAGATGTCTTGCTATCAACATTTCTAATCCGTAAGTTTTTTTATATCGCATAGACGTCATGATGATCGTTACGCGATCGAAAATATGTTAAGTATTAAAAATATTGGTACCTAGATATCTTTTTTCTTCGTTCTACGATTAGTTAGGGCCCTATAACTACTCAACCACGAATAAGAGTAAGGAAAATAGTTTCCAGTCATGGACACTTTTTGTTATTTTCTTTTTGTTTCTTTCTTCTTATTTATTCTTACCAAATATTCCAGGGAGCAGAAAAAATATAATCCCATTTCAATAAATTAATTTGAAAGAATGGACACCCATGACGAAAACCTAATGCGAATAAATTAAACAAATAGGTACAGTTCCTCCGGAAAGAACTTTTCAAAATTTGGGCTCTACTCATTAACTTAAGTTATCAAAAAAATTTATTCAAAGAGTACTTTTTACGTCCTGCAACTTTTTTGATATTTTTGGCATGTAAAGAACTATTGTTTTGTATATTCGTATATGATTGATTAATTGTTAGTGATTCCGTGCATGACAACTCCCGTAAGTGTAGTGCATATTTTTCCTGAGGGGGTGGCTATGATCTTACTCCCCTCGATGGCGGAAACCGGCGCCGACATACCGTCGGCTAGCGGGGTTTTCCCGAACCAGGTATCTCCAACTAGCTGGACAGCGTACCAGCCGGGACAAATTCTAAGCTCCCCGCAAGTGCGGTAGTGTAATGCATAGAAGTGCAAGAGTATGAAAGTAAGGGGTGAGGAGAGGAGAAGAATGAGGAAGGAAAGATCGCGCGCGGTCCGTGGCTCGTTTATTGGGTTCCGCACCTGATTGTGCTTGGTGTTCATCGGAGAAACCACGGACAGCATCAGAGCAGCCGGCCGTTAGAATTATATTCGTGTGTACTATTCCCTGTTATTGCAGTATTCGTAAAGAATGATTTTGTTGAAATATTTAATGTACTGCCGTGTTATAAGAGAGTATTTTACTTCTTCTTGAACATTGTGTGATACTTTGTGGAAAATCATTTTGAGTGATTTTTTTTCAGCAGAAGTTTTGCTGTTGCAAGCCACTAATAATAATAATAATAATAATAATAATAATAATTAATAATAATAATTTTATTAATTGGAAGTGCTTGTCTAGTGATAAGTCACAAAAGTATTAATTTTTATATATCACACAAAATATAATAGAATAAGGAATAACACAATAAAAAACGACCTATTTTAAATAGAATACAAGATTCGTTTCAAGTAAATAACGCATGTTGTGCATATGAATGTAATATTCGTATCTGAGTGCATTTAAACAAACTCCCACGGTGTGGGGTGGCGGCTGGTAAAACGACGAACGCAGTGTGTCACGTGCAGTTAGGGCGGGGAGCGGGCGGTGGCGGTGCGGAAGCGGGAGACGAGGTCGGAGTCGGCTGAAGCCAAGGCGCCGTCCGACGGTGGGGGGGGCAGCAGGCGAGGTGGTGCGGGGCGGAGGCGGGGCCGGCTGGACAGATGGACGCCGTGCGCTTATAAGCAGCAGCTCCGCATCCGTTGGTCACTCATCACTCGCCCCACGCCGCGTCGCTCGGCCATGGCCCACAAGGTCCTCGCAGCCTTTGCCGCCGTCCTCTTCGCAGCCGCAGTAAGTGACACCACGAACCCCGTCCTCACCCGGCTCTCTCTTTTATTTCTTTTATTATTGGTATTATTTATTTTTCGCAATAAAAATATCAATATAAAAAATTAAAGAAAATACGAACTCTAGCTTCGACCCGGTTCAATAATTTATTTGGGTCGTGGTTCGCGCTGTCTTCTCATATCATTAGTATTCTTTCACAGGGAACGATGGTCCTGCCGTAATCAAATTTTATTACAATTCGTAACAACATAACAAAAACATTACATATTCAAGAATTATACACTAATGACGTGAATCCTCTAAATAAACATTTTATTACTTATATAATTTATTTTATGGCATTGCAGAATTTTTAATAAGTGTAGTTTTAAAACCATATTTCACTTTCCTTTTTTGTTTATTTCAGCACAGTTGGTCAGTGCCATGCGTCCCCGTGCGTCTGGTACATCCAATCTTTTTTTCCGTCTCCGCCCCTCCCTCACCACGACATCGCAACCATAACGTCTCGAACTCTCCCCCCTCCCATCTCGCGTCATCGCGACTGCTCGGCTCCTTCTCCGCCTACCAGCCGCCAACAACTTTTCGTCTTTCAGCCGTCTTTTGTTTCTTTCATTGTTTTATCACTTTACCCAAATCAATATTTACCGTATTTCCAGAAAATTTACTACGCCAAAATATATTCGAATTAACCTTTTCATTCTTTTTCTGCAGTTAGTGGACTAGGCGGCTGCCTCGTCTGCCTTCACGCATTGAACCATCTTCTGCGTAGTCTTCCCACACTCCTTCCTGTTGGGTTGTAGTGTAGCACTTGTTTAGGCAGCCTATTTTGCTCCATTCTTTCTAAATGTTTTTTTTTCATTCTTATTTATGTAGTTGTACTGAATCAATGAAGCTAAATATATTTAATTATTTTCTAATATCTTCATCTCTTTGTTTATGTAGCAAATTACAATCATTTATTCTCCTTAAATTTGTTCCATGCCTTTCATCAGTTACATATTTAATTATTTAATATAATTTAATTACATCTGGGATAAGATCATATGATTGTCATACATCTGACACGCAAATACACCATGCGGCGGACACATTCATGTTTCCGCAGGCAATTAATGACGTTAGTACGTTGGCAACCCTGATAACCCAAGAAAAACTTAGTAAAAGTGCCTAAGAATCAGGATGCACTCAAAAACACTTCAGCGTTTGACTATCAAGTTCATACCGAGAGTACGAATGGCGCGTTTCACCACGCGTGGCCGAAAACAAGGGTTCTCCAAATGCGACGATGAGTAGGCGGGCTTATCGCCGGTAAACCAAAACGAACCAATGCGGTGGTTGAATTTTCGATTGCGGCCGGGCGGCGAATTCTCAATTCGAATTACTTTACGATCTTGCTGTTTAGTGATAATGGCTATTTCTCGCCTGTTTCGGGACAAATATTGTTTAACATACGATGGAGGTGGGGGCTCAAGGAGCCGTAAACATAAACGGTCCAGAACAAAAGTGGCGGTAAGAATGCGACTATTTTTTAGCCGTTTATTAGCTGAAGATTTCAGAAAGGACGTCTAAATGGAAAATAGACGAATTCTTGAGACGGGGAGTATAATGTATCAGATTGAGTTTAAAAGTGGAATTTGTATTTCTGACTGTTCAGTAAATATATTATCTTCTGATAAGAACATGCTCAATTTTTTGTACGAATTATACGAGTGAGCTCGTCGAGTCCCTTTGGAATAGACGTTACTATTTATACTTCCGTATTGTTACGGTTATTGACGCTTTAAAACTTGATTGATTATCCAACCCCTGTAAACAACTTTAAACTCAATACTTGTATTATTTTGCTTGGTCTTCGCTGCATCTATTGATGACCGGTCTCCACGCCACCGAAGGGCCCCTTAACAATCGGGAGAGTGATTGTGCTTCCGTTCACTTAGGCGGCGCACGCAGCGCCTTTGGCGAAGAAGCTCGACGCGTCGCAGGCCCTGCAGCTTACCACTCTGGCGGCGCAGCAGGTGCAGCAAGGCGTGCAGGCGAGCCTGCAGGCGGCCAACGACGTGGCGCAGCAGGTGCAGCAGGCCTTCCAGCAGGGCGTGCAGGCGGGTTTGCAGACTGGCCAGCAGATCGCGCAGGTAGTAAACGATACTCTGCAGCAGAGAAGACAATGATTGATTGATTGATTGATTGACTAGTGATTCCGGAGTCGTTAACTGCTAAGGTCGTTAGTGTTAGTGTAGTAAGTGTAGAGCTTGCTTTTATCGTCGAGTGTGGCGGTGATATTTCCCCCCTGGATGGCGAGATACATCGCTGACCTACATCGGCATGCGGAGATTTTCCTCTACTAGGTATCTCCCATCAGCTGGGCACCGTTACAACCTTTTAGCTCTTGGTCTCCAGATAAGTGTGGTAGAGTAGTGTTTGTATGTGCGTGTATGTTAGGGATGATAGGACAAGGAAGAGGAAGGAAACATCGCGCGCTGTTCTTTGCCCGTTTGTTAGGTTACTGCTCCAGCTTTCACCTGGCGTTGATCAGAGAAACCACGGAAACCTGCTTCATCAGAGCAATTGGCCGCTAGAATTCTCCTCCAAACAGCGGCTGAATTTGACCTAGCTATATGGCGTTACGGCCATGAAAGACGGAATGAAAGCCACGTTTGAAAGGTGGCTATTATGTTTTTTTCTCTTAAGTATTTCTAATGAATTTAAAAAAAAGTATTTCGGGGGGGGGGACGAATTAGATAACAGAGTGAATATGAACTTAATGAACAAAGGAGTTTAATTCTGTGACATCAATTAAATAAGCAAGAAAACGGTTTCAAAAATCACATTCCCTGGTCAAGGTTGGCTGTTATTATTTGTTGCAAAGAAAAGGTTGTAAATTGTAAACGAGTAAACAATCTAAATTCAATTACTCAATAAAATTATATTCCCTTACTATAAGACATTAACATCATTAATTTATTTGTGGGAATTAGCTAAGTACAAATAGCTAGCTCTAAACAATTTGAATCCCTTAAAGAATAGGGATATTCGTTTAATCACATTAGCGTGTGGTCATTTAATACAATTGAGAAGCAAACCTTCAAAAGTGACATATCCATCCAACAACAACATGAGATGTCTTACAATACGATAAGTAGTGCTCTATTAAGTTAAATACTGTGTTGAAAAGTGCACAATGTGTGCTACATTTTTCATTTCTATTGGCAAAAATTGAAGTAAACGTGTTGCGTATTGAAAGCCTAATGCAATTTAATATAATTGAGGAGCAAACCTTCAAAAGGTGACATGTCCATATTAAGTTCTTCTGTTGTTTTTACCTAAAATTTTATTTTCAGAAAAAAACACATGAGATGTCTTACAATACGATAAGTAGAGCTCTATTAAGTTAAAGACAGTGTTGAAAGTGCACAATATGTGCTACATTTTTCATTTTTATTGAAAAAAAAAAATTGAAGTGAACGTGTCACGTTTTGAATGTTTATTGCTACCACCCCTGGCAGCATTGGTCCCGGTCATCGTTCAATGCTACCACCCGTGGTAGCATTAACTACTGAGACCCGGTCATTGTTCAATGCTACCACCTGTGGTAGCATTATCACTGAGACGCGGTCATTGTTCAATGCTACCACCCGTGGTAGCATTAACCACTGAAACCCGGTCATTGTTCAATGCTACCACCCGTGGTAGCATTAACCACTGACACCCGGTCATTGTTCAATCCTACCACCCGTGGTAGCATTAACCACTCAGACCCGGTCATTGTTCAGTGCTACCAGCCCTGGTAGCATTATCACTGAGAGCCGGTCGTTGTTCGCAGGTGGTTGCGGGCTTCCTCCCGTCGTTCGGCTGAGCGGCTCGGCGCGGGCGGTGCCGGCGCCAGGCGGGGGCCACGCTGCCAAAACACATATTAACAAAACACAAATTCTACATAATAAATAAATTCATCCGGCAAACATTTCATGCGCACTGGTATATTCCCAACTCTCAACTTCACAATGAACTGGAAACAGAAACTATCCACTCCCTAATTCCTACACAAAGCCTTACGTTTTTGAACTTGCTTAATATGACTTAGAACAGACATGCACTTTGAATTTACGTCAAACATATCATTTTCCTCTACGCATACTATCAAAATTTCCTATTTTATCCACCACAAATTCTTAATTTACAATACATTATCCTTGTATTCTACATCTTATTTATAAACTTCATTTTTTTAATAACATGACGTGCTTAAAATGTATTTGTTAATAATTTATACTATAGGTTTCTGAGAGTATCAAATCGCCATTTATTTATTTGTAATGTCCAAACCCCTGAAAGACAGATGTCGAACAGATAGTAATAAATTTCTAAAAAGCATGAGCTGACTGGGCGATCACCAGGGCCCCGCAAGTCGAGACCCGATGAATGTAATTGATTGAAAAATTGTAAGAAATTGAAAAAGAAATAATAACTCGCGAAAATCGTTATCGTAATTTTATCAGTCGCGGTAGAGTAGTCTGATATTTCAAAAAAGTTTCAATTATTTTTTTTTAATAACTATCCACGATGCAAGGACATGAGTGACCAGCTTCGATTTTTGCTCGTTCTGCGCAGCACCACTACGTCACAAATGGCGTGACCACAACGGCACTCAGTGTTTTCAGAGTGGTGGATTTCCCCTTGGATTTAGTGCTTTCTTTACATTATTGGGCTGTTTGGGAAGTTTAATTATTTGGGAGAAAAGTTTAAGGTGTTCCTATTTATATAATAAAAAATGCACTTAAAATATGTACTTATAAATACTCCGCCCAGTCACATTAATGTGATCACCCGTCAAAATCCCGATTAACCCCTTTTTTCAGCTCTGACCGTTGCGAGACGTCCAGGAAGAGACTCAATTAGGTTCTGGATGGTACCAACAGGGATGTGGAGACATGGCGACTCCAGGGCCGTGACCAGCTGCGCTAGGTGCCTCGATTGCGGATCCGAGGCGCGAACAGCCCGATTAAGACGCTTTGAGGCGGATATTCTCGATTGAGTTTAAATCGGGGGAGTTTGATGGCCAGGGGAGTACTGTGAAATCATCCTGGCGCTCTTCAAACTACGCACGTGCACTGCGATTTATATGTCACGCTGCGCTGTCCTGCTAATAAATGCCGTCTTGCTGAAGAAAAACGGTCTGCATGTAGTTGGATACGGTCCTCTAGGATGGCTGCATACTTCTGTTGTTCCATGGTGCCTTCCATAATGACGAAATCACCCAGGGAATACCACGAAAAGAATTCCACGTAATCCCTCCTCCGGCCTGGACCCGTCCGGCGATTTTTGCGTTCAGATGTTTCACGGCAGATTACTCCAAAGACCATCTGTCTGTCCGATGGAGCAGAGAACCGGATTCATTTCGAAAGGCCACCTGCTGCCACTCAGTGAACGTCCAGTTGCGAATGGGCGTGGAAATTGTAGCCTTCGTCGCCGATGAACAGCAATCAGCGTGGGTGCATGAATCAGCCGTCTGCTTCGGGGTCCATGCAACGTTCGCTGAACGGTTGCTGAGGAGAGCCTGTTGATAGCCCCTGGTTCATTTGGGCGGTCAGTTGTGTCTACCCGCCCGTACGCATCTCCGCAACCGTTGTCCTCCCATGTCAACTATGGCCCGTGGTGCCCCACAGTGTCCGCTGGTCATATTAATGTGATTGGACTGTATATACGAGTATTTACACGATCTGAAGCTCGTGACTTTGAACTTAGTGTTCATGAATGCCATCTACCCTTCAGCAACAAAACTGTTCTCAAGAATTTGTATGAGATTCTAGTTACTCGGTGGGATCGCCCATCGTTCATTTTAATCGGAGGATACAATTGTTTATTTGAAGTGGAAAACTATATTGAAACGGTTTTCCCTCCCTTCACTATTAATCTGATACTACGGAACCAATTTGAAACATGTAAATTTGTACTATTTATTGTTTCTTTATTGCAAAAAACATTTGCGATGTTAAGACTTCGTAAATACAATGAGGTTCTTTCAGAGCAGAAGAAAACAATTGTTATGACTAATAAGATATAAAAATGTGGCTCTCCTGTGTAAGGGATATTGAGAACTGTTAATATTGCACTAAGATATTTAGAGTGTCTGGACAAATGTAGTATACAGTGTGAGGGAAGTATGAAGATACTGAAATTTTGAATTAACGGCTATTGGGTATTTTTTTGTGTCTTTGAAATAATAAAGCTAGTCATAATTGAAAAACTGAAATATATTTGATTATTGGATTTAGATGGCCTGAGATAAAGTGAACCAAAAGTGTTAATTCAATAAGTTTACTGTAATCGATGTCGTCTTTATTTCTATTAATTCATGTTATTTAGAAACATCACGTATTGTTTTTGAAACTAAAGGCAACATTCATGTTGTGAAACTACTTCTATTTTAAACGTTTGATATTTTTTAATTAATTTCTAAATGTGGGTGGAACATCTGTTTGTTTCCACTTATTTGCTAACTTAATTTAATTGCCTGACTAATATCGCGAAATTCAAAATGTTTTGGTCGAATGTGTCGTATTACAGATCTTGTAAAATGTGACAGGCTACACTAAGCTCATTCTGTGAAACGATTTTATTCGTTTTAATGAGTATCCGAAAATATTTTTGCAAGAAAGTTTCGCGTCAAGTTACTGAAAAATTTAGGGAGGGAAATTTCCCTTATTTCCCTTCCCATGGATCCGCGCCTGCGTTTATTAATGTTATAATTACTTTAACTTTACTTTGACCTGTTATGCTTATTAGTTTTCTCAATATTCAACCACGGTTATCTTGATTTTACTTTGATTTTTGCTCGTTGGTCTGGTCATATAATTCGTTACCTTTTTACCTTTTATATGTGGACGTACAACTCTGTACAGAAATGCGATTCCTGGAAGTTCTGCTGGTTGAAACCTGTTATTGAATTGACGGCAACTACTACAACTAATGAGCTTTTTCTTTTTTCAATAATAATAATTTAAACATTTATTCTGATCTATTACAAAATTTCTATTGAGCTCAACAACGATGTCATTATCTTTCCTTTGTACAAAACATTAACTTACGCACGGTTTCAAGTAAACTTCGTAAGCTTTCTATGATCTTTTCTCGCGAGGTGCTGAAATCTCAGCTGACTTCTACATCTTCAGACTTGATGATGTCCGTAGGATGCCCTTTTAGTGTCCCTCCTACCGTGATATTGTTTAACAGTAGGAGAAGTTTGCAAATGTTCCAGGAGTGTTCTAAATTATTCTGTTCTTTCATATACTTCAAAAAATTTAACTATGTTAATCCGCGAGCGCGATTTGCCCTGCCTGGGCTCCGGATGAAACACCTACGCGCGAGTCTGCTTTCAACCCAACTTGTGAAACTATAATTTAAATCACAAAAAATTAAAAATCAACTAAATTTAAAGTGATACCATTTACTTCTTAACTTATGCAATACAAAGCTATCGAAATTAATAATAAGTCACCCGCTTCCCTTACATTAAACTTCAATTTCAACTGAAATAATACTCGTACCGTTCCGTTTGATGCATCCTCACAACTGATGGCTGGCAAGATAATGATTACTTTAATATTCGTACAGAACCATGTCTTTCAATGCCCCCTTTGCACCTCCTGCATATAATGTCCTCGGGGCCGAACTCCCCAAATTAATAGCGTTCTGACATCAAGAATGGAATACCATGACTTGTTGATTGGTTGTCTAAATAATGCATATTACTTGGCTGTAAGCGTACTATATGCATATTACAATTACATCGTAACTATAACGCTTGATCCCATTATTCGAAGTCAACGTACAACCGGGGTATTCTGGCTTATCACAATATGCATCTTTAAAAATTAGAATTAATTTTATTGCTTCAATAAAAAATGTGAATGTTAAAAAAATCGGTTTTTTTATTTCATTTGTCATATAAACGTAATGTAAATAAACAATTTTCACACACTTTTATGTACAGTAGATGTATTTCTCTCTCTTGGACAAGTGTAGAAAAAAATGTTTTTGCCTTTTGAATTCGTACACCCGATGATTTTGTTTTTAATTATTAGTATGGCCTGTTATGGGTGATGAAGATTGTCAGGTGATGAAGGTCAATGAAGATTCATTAGTTAAGATCTTTTTTCGTGTGATTGTTTGCATGCATATAGAAAATATAAAACACTAGTGTGGTTCTTTTTTGTGACTACTGAGTTACTCTTACTTTTACTATTGAATCCCAATATATACACTAACGAATTACTCAATCTTCTCTTGAAAAGTGTAACTCACATCTATAAGTTTTGTTAAATATTGTTTGGCATCATTTTTGGGGAAGAAAATCATATTTCATTTGATTTCATTGATTTAATCAAAACCAGTAAGAACTGTTTAAAGTCACATACATGTGACGTATGGGGGAGAAGTATTATCTGCACACGCTTTCTTGAGCTCCAGAAACTCTTCTTAACATTTTAGCTATAAATAGTTAAAGATGAATAAAAAGTTAAATGAGTAGTGCTAAAGAATGGCACAGACTTTCTCGTAGTAAAGTTGTTTTTTTTATTTCCTTGGTGTGGACTTTCTTTTTGGTCTTGCCCCACTCCCTTGCCAGCTTCCATCTATCGCCGCCCAAAGTACATTTTTTAGACATTTCCTCAACTTTTCTGTTTCTAAATAGTAGAACCGAAACATTACGTTAACAATATTAAAGGAGAATAAAACCTTATCCTAAATAGCAATTTTTATTCAAATATTTAGAGCCCTTTTTAAGAAAATGGCGTTTAAGCGTTAGTAAATGCGAATATTGAAGCTCCTTTTCACAGAATTTTTTTGAGTTTTCGAAAAACTTCATTTGAAGTCATTTAAAGCACTTTAATAACTCAAATTCAATGGTGTTTACAAATTGCTAGAAATTTTCATTTAGGCTTTAGAGATCTTAAAAAAATTACATTTGTGTTTTTAAAAAGAATCCATAAATGAACTTAACGTAAAATTAAAGAGTGCAATTAGCACTATCCGTTTGAAAAGTTTGAAGAAAAAAAAATTTGGAGTCGCTTTTGAAAAAATGGCATTTGAGCATTTTTCAAAAGGCAGACATTTGAATATTATCACTGAAAACTGTTGTTTTCAAAAACTTTGTATGACATTATTTAAAGATCATGCAGACATAAATATAATGTGAACAAAACGCCGAGATTTTAAATATTAACTATGTAAGAAACAAGTCAAAAATATACATTTTTGTAAAATATGGCTTTTTAATGCCATATTATAGGGTAAATTTAGCACTATCACTACCAAAAATTTAAAGAAAAAATTTGGAGCTGTTTTCGAGGAAATCGTGTTTTTGTTATATTTTAATATTGCACATATTGCACGCAATATTGTGCGAAAACTATTAAAATTTCCGAAACAATGTACAAAACCTTAATGAAAGAACTATTGAGGAGGAAATAATTTACTTTAAGCAAAAATCTCTCTTCAATTTTGATGTCCTGTCTTGTGGGTCCTTGATACCGGAAAATCAATTGACGACAAAACGTCCGTTTGTCCGTCTGCCAGTCTGTCCGTCTATGACTACTACTAGCGCCTAAACCATGCTTAGGATTTTTTCTAAATTGAAGAAACCCCTCTCTATCTGGCTCGAGTTCAAGCTTTGATGTTTTGAAACCCATTCTTTAAAATTTGGGGGTAGTTTGCATGACATTTTCAAAATTTTCTCAAAAACGTCTCCAAACCTGATTTTTTCGGCGTCTTCCTACAAATAGAAAAATGAAGATAGAGATTTTCCCATCAAGGCAAATTTGTCCATAATTTGATCTTTCATTGAGGTCATGTACATTTTTTCGATACTTTTAATATATATCTCAGAATAATGCGTGCAATATTTGTAATTTTTAAAAATTACAAAACCAAGATTTTCTCAAAAACGGCTCCACATTTTTTCTTTAAACTGTCGATATGGATAGTGCTAAATGTAGTTTATGAGATGACATAAGCGCCATATTGCTCTAATCTTTTTGTTTTTTCAAAAACTAACAAGAAAGTAATTTTTGACGTGTTTCACGTCGTCAATACTTATTTTAGCGGTAATTTGTTCTCATTATTATATTTAGGAATATAAGTCTTTCAAATAATGTTAGAAAAAGTTTCTCGAAAACTCAACCACTTTCTGTGAAACCTAGCTCAAAATTCCGCATTTTCAGAAAAGCTCAAACGCAATTTTCTCAAAAACGACTCCAACTTTTGTTTTCAAACTTTTCGAAGGGATGGTGCTAAATTTGCACTGTTTAATATGACGTAAAGTTCATTTTGGGATATATTTTGGTTTCCTCTAAAATTATACAAATGTACTTTTTTTGGAAGATCTCTCACACCGTTAATATGCCCATATCCAGCGATTTGTACACGCTATTGTATTTGTGAGTTAATATATATTAAACTAATTTTTAAAAAAAATTTCGAAAGCTCAAACATTTTTTGTGAAAAAGGCTTTTAAATTTCAAATTTACAGTAGCGCTTGAACAGCATTTTCATGAAAACAGCTCCTACGTTTTCACAGAAAATTGCCATTCAGGACGAGGTTTCACTGTTTTTTAATATTCTTAAAATGATATTTTCGTTCTAATATTAAGAAACCAAAAAGTAGAGAAATTTTTTTAAAAAAATGTACTTTGGGCGGCGGCAGCTGGCAAGAGTATGTGGCAAGTCCGAATAGCTAGCTGAGACCCAAGGAAATAGAAAACTAATGAGGAAGCATTCTGTAGCACCATCAGTATAACATGATTTTAAAGGTCCAACAAAAGATGTCTCATTATCTGGTTTGTAGTGATTCGCCGGGGAAGCTTATCCATTGTTTAAAATCCTTAAATGTTTTAAAAAATAGTTAAACTTTTTGAAAACAAAAATAGTTAGAAATCTCGGTTGGTTAAGTCCGTCCATTTCGTAACCGTAAAGTGCCACTTTGTTTAAATTGGGGTGTAGTCATTTCTTCACGTGTTTGAGGGCAGCACTGAGGCAGTTGTTCACGAGATTTAAAGTTTCTCCTCAGTGCCTCATTACTTCCTTCTCATTTGAATTTGTGTGTCAGAAGCGATTCCTTCCTTACTGTCAACAGTTTTATCAATACTATGGAAGGTATTGATATTGTAGCTGAAAATATAATTAAAATAGAACAGGTAAGTTCCTGTAAAATGTGTTTACCGTTTTAATATGTTCTCCAAATTTAAGTAAATGGCAAATAAAAATAGAATGAAGAACTGAATGTGAACAGTAGCTGTATATTATTATGTATTGAGGTATAATGAGTGTAAGTCGATAATTGATAAAACTGTTAGAGAAATGCAATATATGTTCATATAAAAGTATCAGAATTAGAGGATTAGTGAACATATTATTGGTGTGGAATAATTTGTGTTATTGCTTCATTTGCAGGTTAAAGAAGAACCTGTTGATATTGAAGAACCAATTTCAATAGTGAGTTCATTTATTTTGTGTTAGTTACAACTTTATTACAATTGTGAAATTTTTAATCAGCCCTTAATTGGTAACACTGCCTTCTGCTGTTTTCTTCTGATAATTTCACTATACTGGTTATGTTGCAACATTGAATGCCAAATTATGCACCACTTAATAGTACCTCATTGATATGATGATATTGTTCTGTAGTTTTTCTTACACATTGTTAATTTGCCAGGAAGGCCTCAGATACCTGTATTTTTGTAAACATATGTATATTTTGTGTATGTTCTACCCTTGCGATATCCTTTTTCAGAGTAAGACGTTGTTTTCTGGTGTATTTCAAATAATATTTCATTCTTTTAGAAAACAACCAAGATTGTTTGTGTATTGATTTTTTATTTAGCTTAGTTTAAAATGTCAAGAACAAACAGGCCTATAACTAATGCCAAAGTCAGCTTTTTCTCCAAAATCAAATTGCTTGGAGTGTTTGAAGAAGTGCAATGAATTTGTTATGAAATTATGATTACGGTCTGTTGTGACTGGTTTAGATGTAATGACCCAATCTATAATATTGTTTTACAAAATAAAATATAAAATATAAGAAACTGAATTTCAAATTCAGCTTCCAATATTCCTGTCACAACTCTGATTTAAAAATTAAATTTCAGTGTTAAAAAAATATGTTATAAACATTTTGATTCAAATATATGTATTATTAGTGTTATAAGAAGTAAATACAATAAAAACTTTAAACAATGTGTAAGTAAAAAAAAATAGAATTGCCTCAGAGACAGGACATTTGGTAGGAAGGATTTGAATTTTTACCTCAAGTGTTGAGCCAACTCCATTGGACTTGAAATTTGAAGACCTTGATTTTTATGTCATTTTGTTAATTGTGAGCTTTCTGTATTCATCATTTTATCAAAAAAAAAAAAAAAAAAGAGACATAAGTAACTGAGCCTCTCTTATTACATTACACAAAGGGAAGAATTAGATAATTTACGTTCAAAAAGAACTACATATGCCCAATGACGAAAAATATCCAAAATAATGTTTCATGTCAATCCTATACTGCATTAGTGATGAAATGAGTCAAATATACAAAATCTGAAACAATCACTATTCTTTGTGAACACAAAGTTAAATATACTTCTGAGAAAGTAATTGAAGTGTTTATTTCTCTAGATATGTTCATGTATGCTGCAAAGGATTATTATAGGATATCCTGCTACCCACCTAATGTAAAAATGTAATGCATCACGAATGATTATGATTATTGAATAATTTTTGTACAGGGACCTATGTAACAAGTCATTGATGGAAATTGTTTATATAATTGTTGTGTATACACTCTCTAAGCTTTGCATTTAAAAATAGTCAAACTTTGAACTCAAAACATTAGCTATCTTTATAAAACTATAATCTCACAGTGCAATGTTATGGTTTTATTGTAGTTGGGCTTGACATAATGAACAACTGATGGTAGAGAAGTGTTCATTCTATTAATTTTACAATTTCATTAAAATTTAATAATTATACTATAAAACAGGTGGCTGATAGCAAGTGACAACACTATCTAGCATGTAAAGTGAAAATCACAAAATTTGGTTCAGTGAGACATTCTAATTGCTTTCTAAATTAAAACCCTTAGTGTCTTAAAGAGAAAGATAAGGTTGTAAGTGGTGTTTGTGTTACCGTTTAGATAGCATGCGAGTTAGAGTACTGCATGAGATTAGTAATGAAGGAGGTCAAGTGATAATCATCCCAATTGGGAAGATCCAACCAATCAATTTTGGGGGAGAGGGGGTATTATAGATTTTTGTGAAATAATAAACATAGTCGTTATTATATTGTATTAAGACTGGTATGATTTATATCCATTTTTTAAATTTAAAAAGCAATGATTTAAATCAATATATATTATTTGTTATATTTGATAATATATTTGTATTTTAAATATTTGTAAAATAAAATTACTCACATACAAATACTTTAATCAATTACAAATTTGATGTGAAATATATATTATATTTCTTATAAAGTTTTTACATAATTGAACTGTTTTGAGAAAATAAAATACAATATAATATACAATAAAATGACCAACATATGCAACAAAAAACAAAATCAATTTGTACTTGAGTTATATAAAGTAATTAAGGATAAATAAATCACTTAACAATTTTGTTTTATAGTAAAAACATCTAATACAATTTTAAAAAATCGAATTTAAATAAAAATTCTGAATCAAATAAAAATTAGATTTTTTTTTAAGTCATGTGTTTTTCCAGCCCTGTATTGTGAATTATTTTTGTGTGTGCTTGATTTATAAAGTTTTAGGTTGAAGAACGTCCCCCAAATTAATTATTAATTTAATATTACACCATTTATAACTCAAGAACGGCTGAACCAATTTTAATTATCTGATATTTGTTGGATTCATCTCCACCCCTATTAGCAGGATAACTTTTAACATATCGGGGAATTTCACTAGATGGCGTCGGAGAACAACACTAATTATTCTTATCAACTGTAACCCGCAACACACCTGGCAGATTTTTTTTTTTTTTTTGTTGTTGTTGAATATTTCCTAAACGTAGTGTTCTAGGGCATTTAAGACTAAAGTGTTGAGGCCACAGACCTCTGAAAAAACCTTCTTACAATAAAATATACAGGATGATATCTTTTTGAACATTCTATTAAATTTTTGCTGGGTGGGAAGGGAGGGAGAGAGAGAGTGTCTGAGTCGAAATGGGAATGCAGGTCAGAATGTCTGCCGAGCTCCTCTAATTTATAATAGAGTAACATTTCAGAGTCTCATTTCATTGTACTTACGAAGGTGCTATTGACAGTCAGTAATTGATGTGTTGTATGGGGAACCTATTTCTTTCTTGTAGAAATGATAGTTCTTTGCTTTCTTTTGTTTACTTTTTTATCAGGCTCCGTACAACTTCCTATTGGTGTTGCATAATAATATTCATGCTTACTTGTCTATGGCAACAATTTGTCACATTTTAATACATTAAATTCATAGAGGAAATGCCCTATTTACACGAATATAGTACACTTCTAATTTTGAAGAGTCCTCCTGAGAATGTTTTTAAATTTTCAACTAATTCTTGCTATTTAATCAAAATTGCAAATTGTCTAATTGCTTAGAAAGTTGCCTTGTTGATGAGAGTGTTAAGACATTGCCTGAACTATCATTTTCTTGTTCCGTAAAATCACCATAATCATGGATGTTGTCACATCCCATCTTCACATTTACCAATCTTTTTTCTTTCTTTCTTTTTCTTTTTCTTTTTTTTTTGTTATTCGCATTAATTACTAGGTCATTAGCGACCACTATTGTATGGTAACTGTGAAGATGACACGATATGCTGATGATAGGGAGTGAAACGACGAACACAAATGCAACCATGCCCGAGGAGGGACTCGAACCCGCGATCCTCCGGTCAGAGATCGCTTCGGCCTTAGCGATCTCGGCCACCGGATTGGCTCTTTCCTTTCTTTCCTTGCTTTTCTTGCTTTCTTTTCTTTCTTTGGCCTCCTGTGCTGCATCAACTTCTGACCTTTTAAGACCCTCTTAGTTTTGGGTTTGAGTTTGCATAATTCCTAGTCTCCCATCTGACGCCACCAAATAACATTTTTTCTGTCGCCAGATTTTCTGTCTCACACTTGTTGTTTTACCTCGGTAATCAAGTACAATATTGGTTAAAAATCAGTATTATGGGCATTGGCAACCCTTCTCGTTCAAAATAGATTTTCTAAATACCATATTTTAACACACTTTTGACAATGAAACTGATATAAACAAGCTTGAATGTGCTAATTGCATATGGAACATACAAGAGAGAGAAGCAAAGAAGGACTTTTGTTTATTAACTAAGAACTAATAATGTTTTCCGTTTTCATCCCAACACCAGCTTAGAAGATTCAAGACACTTCTGTATTAGCAGGATTTTTAATCAACTTTTAATAAGGAATTTTAATCGTTCGTGTTTTCTTTGCAGAGAGAAAATGATCCCAATCAGGTGTGGTGTTCAGTGAAGTCTGAAAATACTGAAGAAGTGAGTACAATTATTGAATTGCAACATATTTAATATTGACATAATGGAACATCCATTTATTATCCAAATTAACTGATGGTGCTTCGACAGTACTTTCTTTCCCGTATTATTTGTAACAGTTATGTAACATCCTCCTGTTGTATTTTACCAATTCATCCATCATTAAAAAGAAAAACAATCATCAACAAAACATACCCAGAAGATTAACTTAGGGATTTTCATAATTTCAAAGGTTTGCAGGAAAGTTGGAATCTTAGTGCATGTTGGTTCTTTTTGAATAAAAAAGAATCATTCCAAGAACGTTTGCCCTGAGAATCATGGGAATCGAATTCCAACATTCAAATTAGGAAACCAATTAATACCACTAGGGTACCAGCGTGTCTGGAAATAAATTTCTCTTCTTCCACTGCATGGTTTGGGTCTAGTCTAGTCCGTTCCGGCTTTAGTCGCGTTGAGCTGTTCCACCTTCTTTTCGGCCTGCCAGGATCTCTACGTCCCTGACAGTGGTAATTGAGCAAAAACTGCATCATATATCTTTTCAATTATAAGGCGATGATTGACTTTGTAACTGGTGCGCGTGTGTGCGTGCGTGTGCGTGCGCGCCTTGTGTGTGACTGCGTGCGTTAGGCTTCTCCACTGAGCACAGGAGGGCCTTACGACCTTTCTCGAGAAGGGATCACTGTGATTGGGCCTCTACTGACTCGTACTAAGTGTGTGCGCACCGCGCGTCCGTGTCGCGTGAGCGCGTGCAGACACTACTCGCCTCGGTCCCCACCTGTTACACGGCGCCACGCACGATGATGAGCCAAAAGAGTGGATTCTACTCCTGGCTATATGCGCGCACGGCACACACACAAATCAGCCTTCGGTAGCTTGTCGATATAGCCAGAGGGCTACTAAAATAAAGGGCTGGAGGACCAGCTTGAAAGAGGAAAATGAAAGAATCGACCAAAATATAAATGATAGCAGCAATGGTTTAAATATTAATTTAATAAATGAAGATAAAAAGTGCGTGATAATGACTCTTGAAAACAAAATTAATTAAACTTACGATCTAAAAACAAAACAAAAAAGAAAAAAAAATACTATTTTCAAAGTGAGTGCTGGGCTCGAGCGGTGAATTACTAATATGAATTCTACCTCTTAAGACTAAAAATTAATAAAATACAATCAAGTAAAGGCTTATAAAATTAATTAAAATAAGAAAAAAGTCTCAAAGAAAAGGAAGTCCTAAATGAAAGCAAATGTGATGAATTGCAATGCCCACGCCAGATGCTCTTCTGAATGGCTGCCTTTCTTGACTCGGCACCCTCGGACCCAGAACCAGGTACCCGGTATACGGAGGCGCAGCACTCGTTCCGATTGGTGCCAGGGCTGGAGTCTTGCTGCGCAGAGGATGGGATTCCCGCGACACGTGAGAGCAGGCGCTCCGAGTGCCCGGATGCGATTGACCGGGCACGTGCGCGGCCGTGGTCTAGGTTGGTCGCGTCGCGAATGTGCCACTGTGGCACACGCCGATGGGCCGCCTGCAGCCCTAATTAGTTGCGCGCGGCGTGATGGTGACTTGCGGCATGGCGCGGCGCGAGTATCGACTGCTCATGGGCAGCGACCCTGAATGTATCTGTCATCTGAACTCTGACGGGGGCGCTTTGGTACACACAAATATGGAGAAACAGCCCCTCCCTGCCACGGGTGAGGCTTCCGCGAGGCGTGGCGGAGGCGGCCGGTGTAAAATGGAAGAGGGCCCTCTGGTGCCGTGGGAAAGGGCTCCCAAGAAACAAGCTTCTAGGTGGCGTGGTGCGCCCGCATCCTCGGCTGTGTGAGGCAGGTAAATGAGATAATAAATCCTGTACTTTCATTTCGCCGACAAATCTTCGTCGGCTGCAGGGAACAAGTGTTCTGAAGAGGCACGCCCCTCTGCGAGGGGGGAGGCGGCCGCACTCAGGGTGAAAGCCGGCCCGTGACGACAGGAAAGGGCCAAGGGGCGCAGCCTGTCGGCCGCGTCAAAGCGGCGCGCGGGCGGACATCTGTACAATCTGACTACAATAGTGCGCCTTCTCACTTAATTAACCTATCCAGCCCAAATTTCCATTTTCTTAAAATTTTAGTTGCAACAACTCAGGCTCAAGTGTGTTTTAATTTCAAAACAACTGTCAATAAGAAAGAGCATGCCCCACGACAGACAACTTAATTCAATTTTTTCAAATACAAAATGTTCACTGTGAATGTGAATTGTGTGCGATCCAAGTCCCCCAAAATTTGAAAAACGTGTTGTTTCCAAAATATGACTGCGCTGTAATGCAATTTTTAATTCTTGCTATAGGATCCCTTTGTATCATGCTGTAGAAGTTCTACTTTAAAAAATCAGGAAGACATGTTATGTTCATCAGGTGAGTGTATTTAATATGCATTCTTTTATTTCCAAATTTCAGTGGTATAAAATCATTATAGAGTTACAACTAACGTGTAGATTCCTTCTTTTGTATTAACTTATTTATTTCGTCCAAAACTTTTTATTACTGATTTCTTGTGTTGGTCCATGGAAAATTACATTCCCATTATCATTCTCAGTTCAACTTGGACTAACAGCACTCGCCATAACGGTCACGTCCGGGCCTGTGCAACACGATTGGCTCCGGGGCCTGAGGAACACGTCTTCATCCAGATTACCTCCTATTTGATCTCTTGCTTTGACAAATTAATTTGCTGTGGCAAAATAATTTTTGATGAGTACTTCATCACTGAAAGTTACTTCAGCGGGCCTTGATCACAGTCTCCTGATTTGCCTGACTCATCTGTTTTCTGTTTCCAGTTTTTGAACTCAATTCTTTTGAGTGTCACTTCTGCAAGAAGACCTTCACTCAAAGGGGGAAAACACTTACGCCCCTGCATAACGAAAATAATGATCAACATTTGCAGTGCACTGACTGTGAGATGCGATTCTACGGAAGGGCCGTCTTGCAACCAGATATGCGCAACCATAGTGAGGAGAAACCTTTTCAATTCACCACCTGTAAAAAGAGTTTTACTCTAAAGGGAAACTTTCGTAGCCACATGGATGTACACGATGGTGAGAAACATTTTCAATGCACTGTCTGTGAGAAGAGCTTTACTCAAAAGTATCTCTTGAATAAACACATGCGCATTCACTCTGATGATAAACCTTACGAGTGTTCCAACTGCCAGAAAAGATTCTGAGAAGAGATTCTCCTCAAACCAAAACTTATTACAACACATGGTCGTCCACGGTGAGCGTCGTTTTCGATGCACTGTCTGTGAGAAGAGATTCCATGTGAAAGAACACTTAAAAGAACACTTGCGCATCCACACTGGAGAGAAACCTTTTCAATGTACCGTGTGTGCGAAGAGCTTCATTCAAAAGGGAAACTTACTTCGGCACATGGACATCCACGCTGGTCAGAAACGTCTTCAATGTTCCATCTGTGAGAAGAAATACTCTTCAAAAGCATACTTTCGAGCGCACATGCGCCTTCATACTGGTGAGAAGCGTTATGAATGCCCAAGCTGTAAGAAGTGCTTTACTCAAATGGGGCACCTGATTGCTCACAAACGCATTCACTCTGGTGAGAAACCTTACGAGTGTTCCGTCTGTCTGAAGAGATATTCTGCGAAGGCAAACTTGCGTGCGCACTTGCGCTATCACACTGATGGGGGACGCTATGCATGCCCAACCTGCAAGAAGTGCTTCCCTCAAAAAGGGCAGCTGATTCTTCACAAGCGAATTCACTCTGGTGGTAAATCTTACAAGTGTTCCATCTGTGAGAAGAGATACTCTTCAAAGGCATATTTTCGAGCGCACATGCGCCTTCACAGTGGCGAGAAGCGTTTTGAATGCCCAAGCTGTAAGAAGTGCTTCACTCAAATGGGGCACTTGATTGCTCACAAACGCATTCACTCTGGTAATAAACATTACGAATGTTCCATCTGTTGGAAGAGATTCTATGTAAATAACGCATTACTACGGCACATGCAGATTCACACTAGTGGGGAACGAGTTTGAATGTGCTTAACTCAGTGTAACTGTGTAAGACGTGCTCAACTCAGAATGTAAACACGGAAGAACACATGCTTATCCACACTGAGGATAATCTTCTGGATGTTCCATATGTGAGAAGAGTTCTCCAAAAGAGAAACTTATTTCGACACATGGGCATCCACGTTTGAGAAACCTTTTCAATTCACCATTTTCTAGAAATGCTTAAATAGTAAGGGTCCTCAGCAGTTTCTGGAGAGCTAGTAAAATGTCTTCATGATGTTACATTGAATATATAGGCGGAAGTGATGTCACAGAAGTCATGGAGCGATGAAGTGAGTGGATCTTGACGCGCGGTCGAATGTCTCCTCGTAAGATCGTCACCTTAAAGAATCAACATGTCGGGAGTTTCAGCATTGCCAATCTCATGGAAATAAAACGGGAAGGTACCTTGAGAATATACACGGCTGGTATTTAAGTATATGTGGTGTCCGTCAAGTATTAAGATTTTCTGAAATCATTGCACTTGTTTTTGACGAATAAATCCCACAGGCAACAGTAATATAATTTAGGTATGTAAATATAAGTTTTACAATCTCACTAAAACTGAAGAGTATATGAAATAGATTATTTTACAGTAAAATAATACAAATGTATAATAAAATGATTTAAGGAATATATATATATATATATATATATATATATATATATAAATTATTAGACTGAAAAGTATTTTCATTTACAGGCAATTCAAACTGTAATGCAATATAATTATCCTTTACTAAATTAGAAGAATCTTTAAAGTAATTAGAGTGGTGGTAACCCGCCTCGTGATTTTGGGACTCGGGAATTTGGTTATCATCGGGCCTGTGAGCTCGTTTCCCTATTATTATTATTATTATTATTATTATTATTATTATTATTATTATTATTATTATTATTATTATTCTGTCGCCCGATTTTTCATATTCAATCATTCTGAAAAAGAAAACATCTTCGTAACTCTGTATTTTTCTATCCTTTTCTACCTGTCTGGATCTCTTTCTCTTTGTCTTTCTTTGTTTGCCCATATCTGTGTGTCTCTGCGTCTCTGTCTTTCTGTCTCTCCGTGTTTGTATCTCTCTGTTTTGTCTGTCCCCGTGTGTGAATATAACTTCAAATTAACATCTCCCCATAGTACGTCATACACAGTTTTTAACGGTTTTTTATATAAATAAATAAAAAGATGACAATAATAATACAATAACTGTTTTAATAACCATAACTTACTAATTAATAAAGTTTACTTATTTCATTGGTTAGATTACTTTTAAATTTATGAACACCTAGAGGAAAGGTTTCCAAGGCTGTCGCAGGCAACTTATTCCAGTCCGTTAATGTTCTATTTGTAAAGGAAAACTTTCCAACATCTGTTCTCTGTGGCCTGAACTGAAATTTGTGCTTGTGATACCGTCTACTAAAGTACGTGGGTCTACTGAGTCGGATGTAGATATCTTTCCAAGCAGGATAACCGGCATACGCTTTGTACAGGGCACAGAATTTTGCCTTAAACCCTCCTGATTTCTTGTTGCAATTTTCGCGCAATAATGCATGCAATATATACAATTTCAAAAAATAACGAAAACAAGATTTTCGCCAAAAACGGCTGCAGTTTTTCTTTTAACTTTTGGTAGGAATTGTTCTAAATAAATTCTATGAGATAACGTAAACATCAGTTTGTCATCAGTTTTTCAAAAAAAATTTAAAAAAAATGACGTGACTCACGTCGTTAATATTTACATTAGCACCAATTTGTTCACATTATTGTATTTAGGAATTCATAAGTTTTAAATAATATCTAATTAAGTTTCTCGAAAATAACCGTTTTCTGTGAAAATGAGCTCAAACTTGCGCATTTTTAGAAACGCCCAAACGCCATTTTCTCAAAAATGGCTTCAAACATTTTCTTCAAACTTTTCGAAAGGATAGTGGTAATTACACTCTTTAAGATGACGTTAATTCTTTTTGTTGTATTTTTTATTTGTTTTCAACAATCATACCTAATATTTTGAAAGATCTCTCACGACGTAATATGTACATTTCCAGCAATTTGTAAACACTATTGTATTTTTGAGATAAAGTGCTTCAAATAACTTATAAAATTGTTTATCGAAAAATAAAAAAAATCTCTGAAAAAGAGCTTCAAATTTTGAATATACGGTTACTCTTCAACGCCATTTTCTTAAAATGACTCCAACTTTTTCAAAGAAAATTGCCATTTATGACGGCGTTTTACTGTTATTTAATACTGTTAACGTAATATTTTGGTTCCATTATTAGGAAACCGGAAATTAAGAAAAAATCATAAAATGTACTATGGGCGGCGATAGATGGCAGCTGGCAAGAGTATATGGCAAGTTCATATACCTAGCCAAGACCAAAGAAAATAGAAAACTAGTACGGGAAAGTCTGTGCCATTCTCTAGCACCATTAGTGTTACTTTGAATAACAACCGTAGTTTAAATGTTTATTTTCAACATAACAATAAAAAAGACCCTGTCTCAAAAGAGACCTTGACTCATTTTTGTCAAATACCATATTCACACTGAATTTGAATGTCAATAACGTGCCATTTGGGTTCAAGAAATGAAATTTCAAAACTGTTTTCAATATATTGCTGCCGAGGGGTTTAATTTATACATGACGTTTGCCTTAGGATCCTCTTGCACCGTGCTGTGGAAGTTCTACTTCAAAGTCACCGGAAGATATGTGTTCCTCAGGTGAGTGGATTTTAAGTATTCCCAGTGGTTTAAAATCATTATAGATTTACAACGATTGTTTACATTCCATCCTTTGCCTTGATTTTTTTCAACTAGTGGTGCTGAAACAGCACATACTCTCGCCCGTACTTACGCCCAAAATAACTCGAAAATTACTCACATTTTCGAAAAACTGTACATGATCTTATTTCAAAATCTATAAGAAATAGATTATCTAGATTATAAGGGAACAATTATCTTCATAATTGTTGTTGTAGGAAGTCGCCGGAAAAAAATTGGATTTTTTCAATTTTCGAAATATTAGTTTTCAAAGACAAAAATGAGACCTACATCATTCCCATAAACGTCATTCACTCCATCATCCTAACATGGATCGCGCATCGTTGGTACATTTAAGTAGAACGTGAATACATTAAATTCAGTGGCAGAAAGGTGTTGTTTTAACGTTTGACTTAACTAATATATGTATTTTTCGAACTTCGTTTCTTTAAAAATTTTTAAAATGTTAAAGTGTAAAACAGAAATTGTCATATTACAACGTCACATAAGCATTAACAATATCGCGAGAAAGTATGTGCTGTAGTAGCACCACTAGTTCCTCTGGCTCTACAACCGTATTTGGGAAACGCGCACCATCCCTGCTCTATGGCAAGAAGGAAAAGATCGGTCATTGCCACCAAGCTATCGACGCATTTCTCTAACCAGCTGTTTATGTAAAGTGCTGGGACTCATTGTGAATCCGCGTTTGGTTTGGACTTCGGAGTGTAAAAATCTGTCCAAAGCTAGTTCAGTAGGCACCGGTCAACCTTGCACCACCTCATTACGTTGGCAACAGCAATCTCTACGTAGGTCGTCTTGAGGAAACATCTTGTTGCCTTATTTGATATAGAAAAAGGCGTACGACACCACTTGGAGGTGTATCATTCTGCGAAACCTGCACTCCTGGTGATTTAGGGGAAAGCTCCCTCTATTCCTCCAAAACTGCCTTTCGAACACACCCTTTTGTGCTCGCGTTGGTGACAGACTTTCTAGCAGTCACCCTCTAGAAAATGGTATCTCTAAAAAAAACGGTTTTAAGTCCCTGTTCCCAATCGCCATAGCATGAACATGTTAAAGCATCGCCTGTGAATGATGTAGCCATCTGCTGTTCAACCATCAACTCCATCAGTTGGTTTCAGAGGCAACTTCAACTTGTGCTCAATTATTTCCACGAATGGAGCACGCCTACAAAATTTACTTTTTTACTACTAAATCTACTGATTTGCACTTATGCAGAATATTCCACTTGCATTCCAATCCAATCCTTTACTTGTGAGGTAAAAAGTTTCCATTCGCTTAATTTTCCAGACTCCTATGACTAACGTGTCATCACTTATGTGACGTTCTCAAATCCGCCGATTACAAATGTGTCTCTCCCTCTGAACCCTTTAACTGCTACTCATTAGCCCATTGCGGTTGTAAAGAGGACACACCCGCTCAGTTTTAGATTACGGAAGTGACGAATATGGATCAGTAGCTCCCTCCACTCTCTAACTCAGCGTACACTATGGTTTCCGCCTCTCAACTGACGCTTGTCGTACTAGCCAAATCGAATGCCTTCTAGCTCAGGCTGGGAAATCATACTTAACAAGAAGACGGGATATTCTGAAAGGGTCCTACGGTGCTAAAGTGTAAGAACTCATTAACCATCCTTGTCGCCCTGTCCATTCATCCTGAAGATGAGACCTTATATATTCTTCATACATCGCTACCTTCCTCTCCAGGTATTCGAAATCTTTTGCGGGACTTCAATGCCAGTCTTCCCGCCACCGTGAAATCCCCATGTAACCCTATTCTCCCTCCGCCCCACTATTAACCCAGACTCTCCAATCTTTCCAAACAACCTAGAAGTTCTCTTGTTTACCCGATGCAGTTTCAGGAAATAAGGACACCCTATCCGCATTATAAATGCTTATACACAGATGGTTCATCGAATAATGACGCATAGCGTGTAGTTCTCATTGTATCAGGATCACAAATTCATATCGGCTTCTTACTCTCCGTGCAGTGTATTCACTGCTGAAATGTAATTCCCAAAGCTTTAAAATACATAAAGATGTTGCGGCGAGTAGTTTTCCGATCTGGTTGTCTCGCCACTCTTCTAGCTGTCTCCAATCATTCCGCAGACGTCCTTGCGAAGTAATCGTCTCAGACTACCTAATCATCTTCTGCCTCGCCACTATTCTCTGGTACTCAGTTGGGGTCCAGTTCCAGGCCATGTGAGAATGAGCTGGCTGTCCAAGCGGCGTAGTCGGCGACGCGGAAGACTCATTGACATTCCTTCTGAACCATTCTGGTGTATAGGCGTTTTTGAAACGTTCCGACTTCAGAACATGGCAGAGTGGCGCAATGCTACTTTTTAAGTGCGAATGATGAAGGGGTCTGACAATCTTTGGCATTCCTCATCCCAACCTTCTAGGTAGGAGGAAGTATTTCTAACCCGTTTCGTAACGGCAACTGTCACATTTCTCAGTTCGAGGCGAATCTCCTCCCAGCTGCAACTCATGTGGGGCAGTTCTTTTTGTGGAACATGTAATCCTGCATTGCATGAAATTTGTTGGCTGCCGACGAAGACATGACATGGGCAACTCTGTACGGTAGATGCTAGGCAGTACCGATTCCACACTCTCGAAGCGTTTTCTGTTCTTTTAAATATTTTTTTATAGAGAGAATGCGGATATATAATTTTATTTGAGAGGTAAGGACAATGGTGTTGTATACATGCTTCCTGGCCCTAGCTGCACTTTAACTAGCATCCCATCGGCAATTATAGTCATCGAAATCTTTTGATTTGATTTTTTGCTTTGGCAAATTAATTTTTCTAAGTGATAATGGAAGAAGAATTTTAGATATAACTGTTATGACAAACTGCTTTTTATACGCGTCAGGAAGATCTCATCAAAATAGTCTATAGTTCATTATTCTTCCCTCACATTTTACCAGTAATAGATACTCAAATTTTCATGTTAACATTTACAAGGCGTGAGTCTGACGACGGAAAGTAGTTTCTTCATCAGTCAGTTTTACCCATGTTCAGTTCTTCCGTGTAAAAACCGGTCTAGCTATTGATAATATAAAAAAAGCCTGCGTCATGTCTTCTGTTTTCAGATGGTGAACTGAATGCATTTGAATGTACCATTTGCAAGAAAACCTTCACTCAGAGGGGAAGAATACTTACGCACCTGCGTATCCACGCTGACGAGCAACATTTCCATTGCACTGACTGTGAGATGCGATTGTATGGAAAGGTCCTGCAATCACATAATCGCCTCAACTCTGCGGAGAAACCCCTTCATTGCTCCCTTTGTAGGAAATGTTTTACTCTAAAGGGAAGCTTGTATACGCACGTGCACGTCCACACTGGTAAGAATATGTTTCAGTGTTCCATTTGCGAGAAAAGGTATTCAACAAAGGAATCCTTGCGTGCTCATACACGACTTCACTCTGGTGAGAAATATGAATGCCATAACTGCAAAAAAAGCTTCACTCAAAAGTGTCGCTTGAATGCACACATGCGCATTCACTCTAATGATCGACCTTATGAGTGTTTCATCTGTATGAAGAGATATAGAGCAAAGGGAACCTTGCTACAACACATGGTCGTCCACGGTGAGCGTCGTTTCCAATGCACTTTCTGTGAGAAGAAGTTCCACGTAAATAAATACTTTCAAGAGCATTTGCGCGTGCACACTGGTGAGAAGCTCTTTCAATGCACCGTCTGCCAGAAGAGATACTCCACAACGAGAAGCCTCCGTACGCACATGAACGTCCATGCTGATACGCAACGTTTTCACTGCTCCATCTGCGAGAAGAGATTCTCATCGAAGGGTAACTTGCGTGCGCATATACCCTTTCACACCAGGGATAGATGTTATGAATGCGCAACCTGCAAGAAGTGTTTCACTAAAAAGGGATACATGGTTCAACACATGCGCATCCACTCTGGCGAAAAATCGTACGAGTGTTCCATTTGTGAAAAGAGATATTCAGCAAAGGCAAGCTTGCGTGCGCACACGCGCTTTCACACTGGTGAGATACGTTATGAATGCCCAACCTGCAAGAAGTCCTTCACTCAGAAGGGACACATGATTGAACACATGCGCATCCACTCGGGTGATAAATCTTATGAATGTACCATTTGTGAGAAGAGATATTCTTCACACCACAACTTGTGTGTGCACATGCGCATCCACAATGGGGACAAACCTTTTCAATGTACCGTGTGTCAGAAGAGCTTCACTCAAAAGGGTAACTTACTTACGCACATGGAAGTCCACTCTGGTAAGAAACGTTTTCAGTGTTCCATCTGTGAGAAAAAATACTCAGCAAAGAGATATTTGCATGAGCACATGCGCCTTCACTCGGGTGAGAGACGTTTTGAATGCCCAACTTGCAAGAAATGCTTCACTAAAAAGGGACACATGATTGAACACATGCGCATCCACTCTGGTGATAAACCTTATGAATGTACCATTTGTAGGAAGAGATATTTATCAAATCATAACTTGCTTGCGCACATGCGCATCCACACTGGAGACAGACCTTTTCAATGCACAGTATGTGATAAGAGCTTCATTCAGAAGGGAAACTTACTTACGCACATGGAAGTCCACGCAAAAAAGAAACGTTTTCAGTGTTCAATCTGTGAAAAGAGATACTCTTCAAAGGGATATTTCCATGAGCACATGCGCCTTCACACTGGCGAGAAACGTTATGAATGCGCAACCTGCAACGAGTGCTTCACTAATATTAGGCAATTGAATGAACACATGCTCATCCACACTAGTGATTAACGCCATATGTGGTGTGAATGTGAATTATAATAGAGAAATGTTTGTTGATATGCTTTATTCTCAATAGTTACATTGACGAAAACGTGCTTCTATCAACATTTACTTTCAATCAACACCCAACATTATGCACGTAACAGTCTGCCGCCAACATGCAGTGCTCATGTTCGT